CCGGGCCCAGCACATAGAACAGGGCATTCTTTTTTCTGTGCGGCTGCTGGATTGCAGCCACACTGAAAAAAGCACAGAGCAGCTGTAGGCATCTCGCAACAAGGAGGGCGAGAAGCCCCTGGACATCCGCCCACCCACCTGCTGGCTGGCCGCGCTGGGCCAGGCTGGAAGAGGCATGTCTAGCGGGCGAAGGAAGAAAGCGTGCTCCAGAAGGGTGGGCAGATGTCCCGGGGCTGCTGCACATGCGTACTGCATGTGTAGCAGCTGCAAACGCAGTGCGCATGTGCAGCAGCCCTGGGACATCTGCCCGAGCTGTGCCAGGGCCACCACGTGGTAGGGAAAGCTAGGAGAGCGATCGGGACAAGTGAGCGACCAGGCAATCAGGTCAGGAGCGTGGCCAGCCAGGGGTCACCACCAGGGATGGGATCCGACCAGTATAACTACTGGTTCTGTTGCTCTGTGTCGCGCGTGCATGCGCGAGTCGCGCGAGTGCAATTTATGATCTGCTGAGCTGCCAGGACAGCTGAGCAGCGCTGCATACGGGTGCGCAGCAAATGGAAAAGCCCTTTTTTCCTGCTTTTTCTTTCTTTTTTATAAATTTTATTTGAGTTTTCACAAAAAAAATACAAATAAAACATCTTTTTTGAAAGTAGTGTAATCCTGGGTTACATTTCTTCGTACAGACACAAATTCAATTTCATGCTCATTTTTATGTTCTATTCCATATCTTATTACTGTTTTACATTTTCTGCATAGCTTCTCCCCTCTTTTAATTTTCTCAATTTTATTTTAATTGTCTCGTCTCAATTCAAATCATTATATTTATATTTTTTGTCTGTCCTGTTTCAATATCTTCAAATATCTTCAATTATCTTTTCTCATTAAACAAAGTTTCTCCTGTAGTTACTGATTGGAGTATGACGCCTTTATATCTTTTAAGTTTATCCATTTAACTCTTATTTAGGCTTCAATATATACCCTAAAGTTATAACATTCAATATAATACATAACTTCCATTCGGATTCTGCTTGGTACATTCTTAAAATACACACTATATTCTTAAAAAAAGAAAAAATTATAAATATATGTAATTAAAACAACACATTCCATTCCAATTCAATTCTATCATTAATATTAATATTCATTAAATCTTAACTTCTTTAACATTACTTTTCAATTAAATATCATACTTCTATGGGAACAATTATAAGCTTTCCATAATTAATTCCCCCCCCCTTCACTTATATTTTATAAAACATTAACTAATTAAAATGTTCCCGTCCCTTCCTAATTCAATTTTCTCATTTATTTTATTTCACTTATTTTATTAACAAACATTTCATTAAATTACACTATTTTACCCCTCATTTTAATCATACATTGTTTCCAATTTTCTAAAGTTATTTCTATTACTAATATAACAATACAATCTTATGTACCTTTACAGAATCCCTTTTTCAGTTAAATTTTCATGTACCTTTACAGAATCCCTTTTTCAGTTAAATTTTCACCCATTATCTCTAAATAGGTCCTGTTTCTCTATATCTTGTTCCGGTCCTTTATAACTTCTTTTCCTTTCCTTCTTCCCTCTCCCCTTTTTACCCCCTTGTCTCTCTACCTCTATTTCTCTCTTCTGTATTCCCCTCTTCTGTTGCTTTCCAGTATTATACTTATTTTTCGAATTATTTTTCTTTTCTTTGGTTGTTTTTTTAAGTCTTAAATTCGCCATTCTCTTTCCCCCCTTTCCTTTTTCTTCCCCACATAGAATTACTTGTTCATTAAAGATGGCTTCTTCTTTGTCCCAGTCTTCTTGTTTTGCAGACGTTTCTTGTTGTTTCTCATAGTTCCAAATCTCCATTTCTAAGAATTGAAAAACGAAGCCAAAAGAACCCCTCCCTTCTTGTGCATCTTCTTTATACTTTTTTAAGTTCCATTTTCAATTCATTCAGAAGTAATGCCATTGTATAAATTTTTAAACAACCACCCGATTAATTTTAGTCATTCAAATGCAATAACCAAGAATCCAAAAATCACCAAGTAATCCAAATACACGGAAGCTGTTTCCTTTTGCTCTTTTTTTCCACTTTCTCTTCCTGGGGTTCTACTGTTTAGTTACAAAGTTTTAGTTAAAATGTATCTTTTAGAAGTCTTGTTGAAGTTTTACTGTAGATTCTTTTTAATTCCAGGCAGTCTCCTCCCTCTTTCCAGATCCTGCCCTTTTATTCTTTTTCTCTCCCTTTCTGCTTATGAAAAAAAATTTTAGTGTCCAGAAATCTTTATTATCCCTTTGACATTTTGTTTTATTTTCAGCTTAATTGCCTGGTGAAGTCAAAGCGGATTTTTCTGATTTCTTATTTAAGTCTCTTAGTTGTCAGTATAGGGAAAGGGAGAGAAGAAAAAAAAAAACCAAACCTTTCCCTTTTCACTTTCCTTCGCTGCTTCCGACTCTTCTTTGGGAGCGATGTTATTTTTTTGTAAGTTTAAATTCCAGGGTACCTTAGTGGTTGCTTTTGCAATTTAACCCGGTCAGCCAAAACTTTCACTTCTTATCTTCCTCCTGCACATTCTTTTCCAGTCGAGTTGTTCTTTGAGGTGGCCATTTCTGACCACCGCTGCAACCACCTTCAGGAAAGGGAGTAATGGCCAGCTGGGGAGGAGAGATGCGGCTCTCCTCAACTCTGCTGGCAGTCTCCCCCCCTCTTCACCACCTCTATGGGGTGGCTTAGCCCCGAAACCAGCCAGCTTGGGGCGCTCCAGCGGCGAGCCCAGATCGAAACCGCGCATGATCGCGGATTTCTGTCTGTCGCTGAAGGAACTCAAACCGGAACCTCTTTTCCTGCTTTTTCAACCGCAGTTGTGCTGCATAAAGCAGCTTTGGTTAAAAAAGCAGGAAATAAAGGACAGGTAAGAGCCCAGACGGGCGGGCCAAAACAGCAGCAGACATAGAACCGGTTCTGTGTCTGCTGCTCTTCAGAGCTACCGGTTCTGTAGAGCCAGACAGAACCGGTAGAATCCCACCCACCCCTGGTCACCACCAGTTCGGCAACCAACGCCAAATCATCGCTACCGGTTCGCCCGAACCAGTAAGAACTGGTTGAACACCGTCTCTGGTACAGTACCAGCTCCTGAACATAACAGAACATGGCTGCTTTCAAAAAAACAGTTGTCTACTGGGACAACACAAAATATTCCTGCTCAGAATGTGCTGACACCAACACTGGCCATTCTGAGCTGAGACCAACTTATTCCAGCATCAGAATTTTTCATCTTAGATTTTTTTTTCCCTTTCACAGCCTCTGTCTTCTGATAAAGACTCCGCCTTCTGATAGAGACAGGCAAATTGTCCCCAATCCTACTGGCGGGTCAAACACTGGTAAGTACACTTGTATGTTACATTTCCCAGAACTCTGGCAACTACCTGCCCTGTGTGCCAGGGACCACAGAAGGACAGGGAGGCAAAATATCACAGAGTTGAAAGGGGAATTCAAGCTCTTCTAGTCCAACCTCTTGCTCAGAGCAGAAATCCTCATACTATCCCAAACAACTGACTGTGTAATCTTTGCTTGCTCTATTCTGATGTAGCTGAAGAGACACAAAACTAGGTAAGAACATGAAAGGAAGAATCATAGAAAGGCTTTGGTATTTTCTGTTCACGCTAACCTGTTTAGCAGCAAACTAGAAGGTAAGCAGCTGTGTCCTTTTATAAACACACCAACCTTAAGTAATTCTGCCCCATTTCTAGGTATGTAGGAAAAATGTTTGGGCATTTCAGGATTTATTTCTAAACTGGATCCCAATGTGCCCTGTGCAACATTTTTGAAATCTCATTTCAACAGAACTTAGAAGGAAATTATTACTAACTTAGGTGGGAAAGGAGAGCAAATACACCAAATACAGATTCTCTGACCTTGAAAATTGCAAGCAATTTTTTTGCGATAAAAGAGAAAGGGAAAAACAGTGGGGAAAGAATTAAAATATCGTCTTGGAATAGTGGCAGCCTTTAGATAGCTAGGTTTTTGAAATGCACAGCAAATTCAAGCACAATGGCTATGGTCCATCAAGAGCTCTGAAGCACAACATCTGAATCAAATCACCACCCAGACAGTAATATTCCTTTAAAGATCAGACACGGAAATACAAAAATCACACAATCATCTTATTTCTCTGGTGAGCTTCCATAAGAAATGTTGTTTGCTCTAAGGAAGAGAAGAATGAACTACAGGAATGTTGGTTTGACCCAGTCAAACACTTTTTCTATATCTAATATAAGTTTCATTCCAATGGAAGAACAAGAAAATGCAAACCAAGGCAGGGACAAGCCAAAGGGACTGTCCAGTGAGGTGCACAGAATGTCAAGCAATTATGAATAAAATAGAATAACAGAGTTGGAAGGGACCTTGGTGGTCTTCTAGTCCAACCCCTGCTTAGGCTGGAAACCCAACCCCACTTCAGACAAATGGTTGTCCAATCTCTTCTTAAAAACTTCCAGTGTTGGAGCATTTACAACTTCTGGAGGCAAGTTGTTCCACTGATTAATTGTTCTAACTTTCAGGAAATTTCTCTTTAGTTCTAAGTTGCATGAGAACCCAACACTGAAAGAGGACCATTCTGAAGTGGTTTGACCTCAAAACTTGAAATGGGCCCGTTTTAAAGCTGGATGCATTCCAAAAGACTTCTAATAGTCTGTTCTGAAATTGGAAAAGCCCCTTTCAAGGTTAGAACAGAACATTCTAGCAACACATCTCTTTTTTTTCATGGGAGAAGCTGAATTGAGGGAGGAACAATGGTGCAGTTCATTTTCTTGGGTGAGATATCTGTCTAAGCAGAGGACAGACGGAAAGGCTTCATACCCAAAGGCAAGTTTTCTGAGGAGTTCCTTCAGCACAAAGCACACATACCCTGTCTCCCAAGTGGTTGCCATAGTTCTGGCTCGCCACTCTCACGAGAGAAGACTTTGGCAAGTTTCATTTCCTTTGAAGGTCTGTTGCAATGGCACTTACCAATATTTGGGTGTTTTAATAACCGGCAGATTCGAGCTTCCCGCTCTAGTTTCTGATGATCTGGAAAAAGAAAAAGAAAAGAGGAAAATGTATTAATGACTTCTGCTTTTCTGCCTATGTTCAAACAAAAATCAGACATCAACTGCCAATAAACAGACAGCAGCAAATGCATGGCAGTATCTCCCAGAACCTGTAAATATCCTAAAAAAAGGCAAACTTTCTATAGTAAATACTCTATAGGTGAAATATTCCAAAAGGCAAATGATTTATAGGACGTTTTGATTTAACTATGTTCCAGTTTTAGTTTCTTTTTCAGGCTTTAGAGAATATTTTCCGCTTGCTGACCAGTTTGAATTCTTTTAATTCTAGAAAAGAGATTTAAATTCAGGTGGAAAAGTAGCAGGGTGGGTGGGTGGGTGGGGTGACGTCACCCTGGGTTTATTAATTTGCTGGGATTTGAAAATGCTAAGGAAAAAAATCAAACAGCTGGGACTTAGCTCTGTAAAGCAAGGGTGTCAAACTCAATTTCATTGAGAGCCGCATCAGAGTTGTGTTTGACCTTGAGGGATGGGTGGGCGTGGCTGGGGTGGGCGTGGCCAGCTTGACATCACTCGTGTCAGGGGCGCCTATGGTAGCCCAAGTGCTCTGCCAGTGAAAACAGAGCTCGGGAGGCTTTGACAGCCTCCTACAACCCTCTGCCAGCAAAAGCGGAGCTTGGGAGGGCCGTGAACTCCGTTTTTGCTGGCAGAGGCACTGCAGGCTGGTCCTTGGCTCTTTCCAGGGAAGCTCTGCAGGCCAGATCTAAACAACCCCCCTGGACACATCCGGCCCCTGGACCTTGAGTTTGACACCCCTGCTGTAAAGGGATGAGAGTCATCTGTAGGCAGATTAGTGAACACTTGCCTTGTTCCCGTCATCTACCTTTCCCATGGCCCAGTGCTAAAATACTACCCAGAGTTCACTTATCTCCTATCTCTTTCATGCCCCTGTGTGGCAAATGATGGGCAGATAGATTCCAGAACTTGCCACTGGAGGAAAAACTCTGGAGGCAAAACTCTGCTCTTGTGAGATCATGTTTTGCTATGATACTCTTCTCCAGTAGAGTTATTATGCCTTCACAACCCAATGTAAAAGTTCAAAACTTTTGGTAAAGGTTTCACTTCTGTTTTAGTTTCAGATTTAGTATATATGCTGGTCATTTTGTTCTGTAGTCACTAATCTATATGTTATACTTTCCACTCCAAAAGCAAATGACCTACCTACAAAAATAGTACAACTCACTAATGGAAACAGCTATTGCCTTCTGCAGCAGTTAATCCTGTTCTTGCTATTATGTAATAAGAAAAACCATGGCTTATTTTTGATTCAAATTTAACTTTATGCCAACTCACCATTTTCAGTTTTATGCAGAATCTGCAGTATCCACATGAAAATAAATAAGAGCCTACTCATGACAACATGCTTAAAGCCCTTGCTGTTTTTAAAGTGTGCTCTCGATAATCCCTTTGGCAACTGTGGCAGCAGGAAAGCCTGAGATTTAGTCAATTTTAAGGGTCGAGCTAGCATTGGAATCTAGATCAGGGGTCTCCAACCTTGGCCACTTGAAGCCTGGAGAACTTCAACTCCCAGAAGCTTTGCTGGCTGGGGAATTCTGGGAGTTGAAGTCCTCCAGGCTTCAAGTGGCCAAGGTTGGAGACCCCTGATCTAGATGCACCTTGTTGAAGATACATATAGAAAAATTTATGGCCAACCCCAAATCAATCTAGGTACAGTTTTTTAGTATGAAGCCTGAAACAGGCTTTGGAAAACTTTGATCAGCCTGAGAACACAATACAGAAGAAGTCTAACACCTTTTCTGTTTTCGTGAGTTTGAGCTCACCCCATCAGCTGCATAGAGCGGCTGGACAGATGAAGTATTTAGAACATAAAACATAGAATTCTTTATTGGCCAAATCGTAAGGATATAACCGACAAAGTTACAGTCATACAGTCACAAGTGGGAGGGGATGGGTGATAAGGAGTGATGAGAAGATTAATAGTAATAGTGCAGACTTTGTAAATAGTTGGACAGTGTTGAGGGAATTATTTGTTTAGCAGAGTGATAGCATTCAGGGAAAAACCATCCTTGTGTCTAGTTGTTCTGGTGTGCAGTGCTCTATAGCGTCGTTTTGAGGGAAGGAGTTGAAACAGTTTATGTCCAGGATGTGAGGGGTCTGTAGATATTTTCACAGCCCTCTTTTTGCCTCAGGCAGTATACAGATCCTCCATAGAAGGCAGGTTGGTAGTAATTGTTTTTTCTGCAGTCCTAATTACTCTCTGGAGTCTGTGTCTGTCCTGTTGGGTTGCAGAACTGAACCAGACAGTTATAAAGGTGCAGATGACAGATTAAATAATTTCTGTAGAACTGGATCAGCAGCTCCTTGGGCAGTTTGAGCTTCCTGAGTTGGCACAGAAAGAACATTCTTTGTTGTGCTTTTTTGATGACATTTTTGATGTTAAGTGTCCATTTTAGGTCTTGTGATATAATAGAACCTAGAAATTTGAAGGTCTCTACTGTTGATACTGTGTTGTCTAGTATTGTAAGAGGTGGTGGTAATGGGAGGGTTTCTTCTAAAGTCTACCATTTAAATGGGGAATGAGGAAAGGGAACACAGTGTCAGGTGAGTCTCCATTCAAAATCCAAGAAAGAAACCATTCGACTCCATTGTTATAGAGAAAAGGACTTTTACTGGAAATCAAGTGGTAGCATCAAAAGAATTCAAGATGTGAGGCACTAGGCACGAAAATCACATATGCAAAGTTGTGGCAACGTTCCCACCCACAATAGTTCAAACTGGCCATCCAATCTGAGATGTGTATAATGTCATGTGGGGCATCTTCAGGTGGTGATTCAGACATCTGGCCATTGATCTTGGCCTGGATAAGGTAAGATGCTGCGGCTGCGCTGTAAGCAAGTAAGCATATACAAAAAAGATTTCCCAAGTTTCACATTTCACCCTCTCAAGCCTCTAGCACTCTTCCCCCCTCCACCCTAACAAAGCTCAATTTATGCTGACTCCCCCCATTACTGTGGCAGTCGGAAAGACAAGCAGAAGAAAGATTCTTGAAAGCTGACACACAGGTTGGTTATGCAGGTGCAGGTTACATGTGACACAGAGTACTAGCATCTTCAGCAATTAACAAGTATAGTGGATTAAAGACTCATTGTTGTTAGCTGAGACCGTTGGAATTGCCACAGAGTGGTCAGGGAGGTTGAAATGCTCTGCAAGTACAGATTTTAGAAGATTTATTAGGAGGAGTAGAAACTTTAAGGCAGAAGTTAAAGGGTTTTGGTATGTTACCAGGTTTTCAGATCGCAGGTAGACATCAACCTGTGACCACAGTTGAGCCCCAAAATCCCACTGTTAAGAGCGACACTTGTTACGTAAGCTTTTCCCCCTTTTACAATCTTTATTACCACAGTTGTTAAGTGAGTCACTGTCGTTAAGTTAGTAACATGGTTGTTAACTAAATCTGTCTTCCCCATTGCACTTTGCTCACCAGAAGTTTGCAAAAGGAGAACATATGACCCACACGGCACCGCACCCATCATAAATACATCCTGGTTGCCAAGACTGCAAATTTTGATCACATGACCCTAGGGGTGCTGCAACTATTGCAAGTGCGAAAATTTATTTATTTATTTATTTATTTATTTATTTATTTATTTATTTATTTATTTATTTATTT